CGTCAACATTATTTGTCACTTATGGCATGCACCTGATGTAACAGAAGGCTAAAATGTCAATATCACCTCAATGCCTGTTCATAGAGGGTCAGCAATTTGAAATTCCAAAAAAAAATTTCACACATTCTTTATTCAAAGCAATCGTAAGAGGAAAAACGCCAATAAAAGTCCTTTAACGCTTAACTTTCTCTAGGCAGGTCATTGAAGGTGGCAGCAAATGGTGCGACTACGTCAGTGTCATGTGTTGGATCAATGGACAGGCCACGTGAAGGGCGATTGATCGAGGTTCAAAGGGGCACCACCGGTGGGGCACTACCATAGAAGCGTCGTTGGAGGGCTTGAAGGTGGTGCAAAATGCGTGAAATTGTGCACATTCAGATTGGCCAATGCGGCAATCAAATGGGCGCAAAGGTAACCGTCCACCTCCTGTTGGACCTCAATTTTTTCTCCTTTTTGTAGTTTTGGGAAGTTGTCTCCGATGAGCATGGTTTGAGTGCCGATGGGCTGTACAACGGTGACAGTGATCTTCAACTAGAACGAATCGGTGTCTACTATAACGAGGCCACAGGTAGCATCTCCACTTAGCTTGAGTTTCCTCTTTCAGGTGGTAAATTCGTGCCTCGAGCTATACTAACTGACTTGGAGCCTGGAACAATGGACGCTATTCGATCAGGTCCAGTTGGAAATCTTTTTCGCCCCGACAACTATGTGTTTGGAACCACAGGAGCTGGAAACAACTGGGCTAAAGGCCACTACACTGATGGTGCTGAATTGATTGACAACATTGTCGATGTGGTTCGAAAAGAGGCTGAATATAGCGAATGCCTTCAAGGATTCCAGGTTGTCCATGCTCTTGGAGGCGGGACAGGTGCTGGATTAGGAACTCTTTTGGTTACTAAAATACGAGAGGAATATCCGGATCGCATTATTTGTTGTTTTTCAACTGTACCCTCACCTAAGGTGTCAGATGTTGTGGTGGAACCCTACAACGCCACTCTATCATTCCACCACTTGATTGAAGGAACAGATGAGACATTCTGCATTGACAATGAAGCCCTCTACGACATTTGCAACCGAACTTTGAAACTAGTAACTCCAACTTACGGAGATTTGAATCATTTGGTTAGTGCAACTATGTCTGGAGTAACTACATGCCTACGATTCCCTGGTCAGTTGAATGCGGATTTGCGAAAGCTTGCCACGAACATGATACCGTTCCCACGACTGCACTTCTTTATGCCTGGATTCTCTCCACTAACTAGCCGTCATTCACAGGCCTACAGGAGCTACTCTGTTCAGGATTTAACTCTCCAGATGTTTGACAGCAAAAATATGATGGCCGCTTGTGATCCAAGGCATGGAAAGTACCTCACCGTTGCAGCCATGTTTCGAGGTCGCATATCGATGAAGGATGTAGATGAAAACATGCTAAATGTGCAAAATAAGAACTCGGCCTACTTTGTAGAATGGATTCCTAATAATGTAAAGACAGCTGTTTGTGACATTCCTCCTCGTGGACTGAAAATGGCCGTGACATTTATTGGAAATAATACAGCAATTCAAGAGATATTTAAAAGAGTTCGAGAGCAGTTCATGGCAATGTTTAGACGGCGAGCCTTCTTGCACTGGTACACTGGTGAGGGCATGGATGAGATGGAATTCCAGGAGGCACAAACCAACATGGATGATCTGAACAGTGAGTATCAGCAATTCCAGGATGCCGCTATGGACGATGAGGTCCAAATGGAGGCGCCTGCTGTATCGTGTGGTTGAAGTTGACAAAAAGAAAAAAAAAAGGCAAAACACACACGCAAAGTTGTGTGCAGAGCTGCACATAAATGACGGCTTTGGGTGTTTCAGTTTGTGTGAATGTATAAGTTTGGAAAGATGCTAGTTCTTTCCTTTTTTGTCGCGGAAATACATTCCCTCCTGACCCACTTGACTCTCTCCTTAAGCCATTGAAGCGCATGTTTGATGTGGTTGCTAAAAACTAGACATTTTATCATTATCACTTCACCCGGCTGAAGGACTTCAAATGCACACTATAGTCAATTCTCATAATGCTT